GCACCGAGGACCTATCCACGTCATCATTTACCCAGAATGCTTTGTGTGTAAATAAAATGGCTCAGTCCGTGTTAAAATATATATATTTTTAAATTTACAAAACTAAACGGCCAACAGTATTTTTACAATCTTTATTTTACTGTTAAAATAAATGTTTATCAACTGTGTTACAACTAATCAGGGATCCCTTTAAAGGTCTGGAAACGAATTAAGGGTTGTGACTTGTGATTACGCTATGATTTCTGTACAGACAGATTCCAAGAACCAGTGTCAGGTCACATTTGTCTGACAGTCCACTCTTATTAAAGCCCCATCCAACCAAGAAGACTTCAGCCTGAAAGGAGCAATCTGTTACATTGTGTAGAAACATTCATGCAAGACTCTATTTTTTTTGTCTCTATTGTTGAACAATGCATTAGATGTGAAACATTTCTGGTAACTGTGCATGTGATGCAAGTCATAGGAGATGGGGGGTACGAGTGGCTGACGCTCAGCATAGCCCCCACACTGTCTGTGTGTTCAGTGTCTCACTAACATGTTGCTAAATATTGTGATTGATTTTTGTTTCTGGCTCAGTGCTGTTTGTGAGTGGTTTGTTTATGCTGTAACAGAGCCCGAGACATTGATTAGGCCTGACCGCCCTTTCTGTGCCCCGCAGTACACGGTGTATGGGAGGAGTGGTCACCGTGGAGCCTGTGCTCATTCACGTGTGGCCGTGGCCACCGCACTAGGACTAGGATGTGTGCTCCTCCCCAGCATGGAGGCAGGGCCTGTGATGGACCCGAGACCCAGACTAAGCTTTGCAACATAGCCCTATGCCCAGGTATCATGCAWCTGCTTTTTTAAAACCTGTTTGAGAACAATTACCCCTAACACCACAAAGACGAGAAAAGTATAAGCCTAAACCTTTAAAAATGAAGTCGTTTTTAAAATGTTTATTTGTAGTAATGGTTGCAATTAAGCATTCATAGGGATTAATAATCAATGCAATATTGCAAAGGTAAGTTAATGCAGGATTTGTGCTGCATTGAAGTGTGCTTACACGTTAATACGGTTTAGGAGGCTGTGTTGAGAGTGAATACGGTAATACTGACATCAAAATCACTTACATGCAATTGCTCACGAATGGTAAGCAGATTAGAGATGATGAGGTTTCGCACACAGTGAACATTAGCTGTGCTCTGGTAGCCGACTCAACGGAAACCCCTCAGTTTTCGATGCTCATCCCTCCGGTCAGTCAGGGGGACAGCGGATAAATAGTTCCTGTTGTCACTCTATTACATCTTTGTAAGGAAAGTCTTTTATATGAAAATGKTACATTTTCTTATTTTCAAAAAGAAAAAAACAAGTAGGTCCTCTGGATGGGTTCTTCTTTAGTGAAACATTTCATCTCTCATCCAAGAGACTTCTTCAGTCTGATGAGTTTCAGGTGAACTCAGCCTTATAAGCATTGCCTCCACCTGGACAAACAGGTTGGTCACATGCAAAAGAGGGCCATCGATTAACAATAGGCTTGATTGGCTCTATTGTTCATAGTCATTGTCCAGGTAGAGGCAGTGCTTATAAGGCTGAGTTCAKCTGAAACTCATCAGACTGAAGAAGTCTCTTGGTGGAGCGAAGAAACATTTCACTAAAGAAGAACCCATCCAGAGGACCTACTTATTTTTTCTTTTTTTCTACCTGGATTACTGAGATGCATCAGGACACTTTTTCTTATTTTCTTTACCCTTTTTGCCATTGGCTAGTTCTGAAAAAATCAAGCTTGTAAGATAAAAAAAACAGTGTAAACCTAATCATAGTACATCTCCCTAAAACAGACAAGTATTCATGTAATATTTTGCTCTCCAGTTAATATCTGTGTTATTGGCTTTTAGTCTGAGAGAGAATAGAAATCTGAATATCTCCTCCTGTTTGTGTTTGCCCTCTTTTACCCTTCACTTGGGACGTGCTTGTTGGGTTGTGGTTGGTGCCTCAGTGGACGGACAGTGGCAAGAGTGGAGCTCTTGGAGCGATTGCTCAGTGACCTGTGCCAATGGCACTCAGCAGAGGACCAGGCAGTGCTCAGCAGCCGCCCATGGGGGATCTGAGTGTCGCGGTCACTGGGCAGAAAGCAGAGAGTGCCATAACCCTGACTGTACAGGTAAAAATCCTGAGCCTCTTGATTCATTTTCCGCATCCACGCCCCGTCCGATTGGAAATCATGATCTGAAACAAGAGACGAAACCATTCCACACTCCCATTTTTAAGTTTTCCATCATTTCTACAATCATTATTAGACTAGTTGTAACAAGTTGAACATTTAGCATGGTTTTAGTAAGCATGCACACGGTCATTTTGCTCAGTAACAACCCAGATAGCACCACTCAAAGCTCCACCATAAGACCCAAGAATCATTTTTAAGACAATTGCCTTTTCAACTGGATTTGAAAACTCCTCTCWGAGATAGTGTGTGCCTTTCACATAAGTCAGTGTCAGCTGCCTAAACTGTCTGTCGACATCATAGTTGCATTAGACGCTCAAAGACGGCAGCTTAGTGGTCTCGATCAGGCTTTGACTTGTCTGATCATGTGAAGGGTTTGAGCACTCGCATAATCTCCTGATGCAATTTTTACTGAAGAAACGTAAAACAGTGAGATTGTCATTCTGCATTTGACTCGTTTCTGTCTGTGTGTGTAGCATGTTCTATGCATGATTGAGTCTAAAAACGTGATTTCAGTCAACCAATCTTGTTCTTTTTGACCCATAAGACAGCAATAACTGCTCACAGATTCATAAGTTTAATTTGTGCCAATCACTGCGATGAAGAAGAAGCTGTTGTCTGCCTCTGAGTGAGACTCTACATCGTACAATTTATTCATTTAATGAGGCCTGCCTCTTTAGCAATTCTTATGTGTTCCCAAAGTCGGGAGATCAAACATTATGTAGTCAACAGTGTCGAAGACGTCGTTTAACAAGTCAGAATAATGACCATGATTGCTGGAAGGATTGTTTTGACGAAGGGTTCAAGGCCACCAAAAAGCATGCTTTCCAGAACCAGACTTTTTGAATAATTTAGTGCATTAAAAAGGCCAATAGTCATTTTTATTTTATTTTTCCTTGTGGACAAAAATAACAGAATAGATTAAACTCAAATGACCGCCAAATACATACAATAAAGCCCTGTGCAGGATTTCAATTCAGCGTTATGTGTTTCGAAATTGAAAGAATTTCTCTTGGAGCGCTGGCACAATGAGCTCTTTGAAGCACATGAGCGTGCATCTGTTTGAGGAATCAGCTGCTCTGCTGTGGGCTGAGGCATCACTGTGTCCTGGGATTTGATCAGTATCTTATGGATAGTTCTAGGCAACAGGTCACAACGGTTCCTGGTTTTCCTCTCCTCAGAAAGCAATCCTGACAGAGGTTAGTTGTAGGACATAAAATGTGGCCATTTATGTGAAGCGGAGGGATAAATGGAGGTTGTGTTTCCTTTTCATAAGTGTTTTTTTTTTTTTTTTGTTCAAACAAGGGCATGTGATTTACTATGTTGCTGAGGTTTTTTTTTTTCTTTTTGCTCCAACTGTGTTCATTACAAGGACATAAAATGTGCTGCTGGTTCCGAGAACCTCAGCATAAACGTGTTTTAATATTGGCAAAGTGATGCGACTAAACACCACCTTAAGAGCAGCTTCTTTAACCATGAAATAGAAATACTTATCATTCAATGTAATCTTGGTTTTTTTGGGGTATATTGCCAACAAGCTGCATCTAAAAACCCACACTAAAATGAGGAATAAATCAAAACTATATTTTAGAAATGACACACACATTAAAGCCTTAATGGCATAAAATAAAACGTTGTGATCAATGGTTTTAGTCGATATTCTGTTTTTTTCCCCCCTCTTTTTCCTAAGAGTATTTATTTTTTTACTGTTATTGATTCTTGTTTTAGCTAATGGCCAGTGGAACCCTTGGGGTCCGTGGAGCGGCTGCTCAAAGTCCTGCGATGGTGGATGGCAGAGACGAGCCCGAGTGTGTCAGGGGGCAGCGGTGACCGGACAACAGTGTGACGGATCCGGCGAAGAAGTCCGAAAGTGCAGTGACCAACGCTGCCCAGGTGAGTCAGAGGATGCGACGATGATAGCGGCCACGAAGAAGCGGAGTGAATGAGGGTAGATAATTATCGACGTGGAGTGGATGACGTGGCTCGTTATACAAGATGAGATAATGCAGAATCTGAAGAGGAGATGTAGATAAGATGGAGTGGATGACAGAGCATGAATATGTTGTAAGGCATTAAGGACATTGTAAGAAATGAAAAAAACATCATTGGAAAACATCTCCTTTGAAGTGCAGTCCCTTATTACTTCTATTCTGGCTAGTAAAAGAAAAAAAATCCTCAAAAATAACATCAAAACCGTTCTTAACAATGTGACACCTACACTCACAAAAGCTGTAATTTAAGACAGGCTTACATGTTATCATAATCCGTAAATTACATGCTTGTATTCACTGACACTGTACAGCTTTGATCTCCTACATTTCCATACCTCCTCGTATGAAGTATGAAGAAATTATTGCATCATGTTGGAAATACTGAAAGGCTTTTTGCATTGCTTAAGCATCGCTTGTATCATTTTGCTCCCCAGCACCGTATGAGATTTGTCCYGAGGACTATGCAATGTCAATGGTTTGGAGACGGACCCCTTCGGGGGAACTTGCCTTTAACAGATGCCCACCCAATGCCACAGGTAAGAGCAAAAACAATTGGATATTGTTGTTTTTCTTAAGATCTTTTTAATTACAAGGCAGACATTTTGAATGTCTGACCTGGTGASAAATCTGAATAGGGATTTTGTGTGTGTGATTGTGTGTGTYCATGTTTTTGTTACCTAGTGGGGACAATTTTTGACAATTTTCCCAGTACACACAGCCTTGTAAGGACTCGTTGTTCTTTGTGAAGACAAAAGCTCAGTTCCTGTCGGGAGAAATACTGTACCTTTGCTGGGTCAGGGGTTAGGTTTAGGACTAAGATGTGAATTGAGTTTAGGTTAGSTTTAGGGTTAGGTATGTATTGGGATGGTTAGGTTTAGGGTGGGGTCAGGGTTGGGCTCTAGAATGAGCWGTAAGTGAATGGAAGTCAATSCAAAGTCTCCATGTGGATAGAAGAACAAARGTGCYTGCATGCATGAGATAGGGTTAGGGGTAGGGTTAGGAGTTTTTCTTGTAATTGAACAGTATTAGAATTTCTGTKGCTTTGCTTGATCACCATGCCWMTCTTGTTTGAATACACATGAACATTTAAAGATGGCATCYAAYTTAAGATAAGCTGTCATATCTCGAAAGGCAAAAGGTTCAATTGAAAGGTTACTGCTTTGATTTCCAACTCCCCTAGTCTCCACGCTAACCCACCATACACTGCTGCCCTGCCTGCTTTGCAAGTGCTTATCACTTGCAAATCCCTTAGGTTAAAACATCTACTAAATTATTGTAATATTACTATAGTTATATACTAGAAAAATCTGTTTCTCCATCTGAAAAGTGGGCATAAATCCTTTCCATATGCAGTGATGTCATTTCAGGCGGCAGCCCACAGCTTGTGCAGTGGATGGAAAAAAAAAAGTGGTTAATTGCGARACCAAAAGCGTTGGTAAAGGTTAAAGAAAGCCGTGCTCAGATCTGTTATCAAAACATGAGGCAGAGGCATTAGTAGGTGGACTAAGAGAAGCACGTTCTGTAAGAGCAGAGACTAAAGCTCTTTAAAGCAGAGGAASGAGGGGGGGAAACAGGGAGATGATATAAAAAAAGGCATCCAACCTCTGATAAATCTGCTGCGATACAGGTTACTTTTGTTCCTGCMGAAGGTCAGTCTGCTAACAAACATGCAACAGGAGCAACAGCGGCTGTTGAATGCTGAGGTTGTACGCTGACATTTCTTCCGCAAGCATAAAACAATGTGCTGGTAAACTTGTAGCAAAAACCTGCTGTTATTCACAGATGGCTCACCTGCGGCAAAGTTAAGCAGAGGAAGATTTACTACGATGACATTAACTTTTTGGCTTGGCATTAGTTTTATGGCTAATAACGGTGTGACACTGTGGTGCTATTTCCAGCTTGCACTGAGAAAGAACCTTTCCTTTTTTGTGTGTGATGTGGCAGAAAACACAAGGCTTTTACATAATAATTACATGCGTATTATGTAAATCGGAATGAATTAATATGCAAGTCCAGTGAGAGAGAGTAACACTTCAACCCTGAGCAGTATTTAAATATTTTTGCTTCCTTTTTTTTTTAAATTAAAGGCCTAGCATTCCCTTGAAATTGACCGTCAACTTGCAAGCCAGAGTTTCAGAATAAAATCACTGCACGATGAGAAAGATCATATTGTAGCTATTTTTTAACTTTGAAAATTAAATTATGTACAGTCTAATGTAATGTCATGCTCAAAGTATCACATTCTAGCTCAATTTCCTTAAATTAGAGGCAGCCATCTTGAATGGAGTTGGCTAAAACGTTAATCACTTGTAACTGTATGTATAATTATTATTTCAGAAAGTTTCGTTTAATCTTTCAAGTTGTTCATGAGGTATTTTGCTAACAAAGAGTGTTAACTCTAGTTGATGCTAAAGTTTTAAGCAGAGATCTTTGCTTATTGCATTTTAAATTATAATTACCTTAAAAGTTAACAGTTGTAGATAATGATATTTCTGCACGTTTCATTGAAAGTTTACCTGTTTTATGTCAGATATTTAGACATGAGCAAAAATAATGTCATGCACTTTTCTCTTTCGGTGCTGGGCAAATAAAAAATTCAACTTACAAAACATTAGCACGTTGCCATTTGTGATAAGAAAAGTTGCACTCTCCACAGAGACCAGTTTGCCTCAGATCAGAATTATGTGGTTTCATTTTGCTAGAGAGTCACAGAATTCCTCAACGGTATCGRGATGAAGCGCAAAAATAAGAGCAAGAAGACATATTTCATGTTTAAGCCCAGCYCCTCTGCTTGTCAAAGCAAGAGCAGAGCACAAGGAAAAGATCGTGACAGACAATAGGTAAGGTCAGGTCAAGTTTATTTGTAAAGCCGTTTATCACACTTCTGGTGCCGGCAGGTTTCTCAGGGCCTGCATTATGAATCCATAAAAGAAAACAGCACAACCTTTGATCTGCAATAAGATCAAACTCAAATCCTCGGTGAGAAAACTGTAGAAGCGCAGCTAGTTTGTCGTCCAGGTCAATCCGATATGCAACGAGTGCTGGTAGCGAGGATGAAATATCAGCAAAAGAAAACGCGCAACAACAACAACAAAAAAAAAAGGTTGTACGGACAAAGCATGCCAAATGCGCCCGGGCGCCTCAGCACCTACTCAGCCGTTGTCACTGTCATCATGAAGGTCATCACAGGAGGAGTGCAGGGCCATCAGCACCGCCTTGGTGATCATGGACGACAACTGCCATCCGAGGCAAGAGAGACTGGAAGATGAARACGAGCGCCAGAAGAATTTGCTTGTTAAATAAAATAAAATAAAACATAAATTGCACACAGTGGGATGTGCATGTATGGCCTGTGTTGCCATGTGTGAGGTAAAACAAAGTGCAAAAAAGAACAAAAAACATTAGATTTAAGATTGCTAAGAAATATTTGCATTAGTTATAGTTTGCATTTGGTATTTGTTTCCAGTGTTATAATTACATAATCCTTAATTTAATAAACATAATTGCCATTATTACATTAAAAGTTKAGTTCTATTGCAAAAGCTTCGCTCGTAGCATTTATCATAACCCACCATCTCCAACTTCTCAGCTGGCAAGTTCTGATTTACCCTTTTTGTCTTGAAGAGGGCAAAATTCTCCTTTAATGGGCTTCATGTTCAGAGTGCTGTAAAAGCAGACGGTGACAGGTCAACYCCTCAGTGAGGAGCAACCTTGGACTTGATCAAGCACATTTTCACTGACCCATATTTCATACTCAGCCCACTGTACACACTTCACCYATGATGCAAGGACAGACGGCTTATTAGGGAGGAATCACAGTCAAGGTCTGGAGTTTTCAACCACTGACCTCATGTGATCCTATAACCAACATGTAGTAAAGCAACAAGAGATCTGTTTATAAGAAGAAGACAAAAAGACCTGGCATTCCTTAAAGGAATGTATATCCTCTGTCACCCACATTTTTAAACTGAGATCAACTTGTGCTGGGAAATGACACAATTGTAGCTGTTTTAGTAAAACTAGGAAAATAATATCATGTAAAAYCCGGTGTGATATCACCAGATGACATTCTCAACATTTTGTGAATGACTCACAGCTACTACCACATCCAATTTTAACTCAATATACTGTGTGTGACATTGCCTGTGATAGTCATTTGTGTTGGTTAATGTTGAATTGCTGTGACACCCATTGTTTATGGGTTTGATGTCAAATGCTATAATCAATTGTAGATTTTTTTCCTTTTTTTATTCATTAACTTAAAAAAAGACGAAAAAATTATATACAATAAAAAACAAAACAATTTATAGATGAATTGAAAAGGAAGCCGATGGATGAAAAAAAATGTACATATAGATTAACAT